CTTTTTCCAAGGTTAAAAAGTCTGGCATGGAATTCTAATAGTTTTATCTACTTTATATGAATCATATAATAGGGACATGAAAACCAAGAGAAAACCAACTTTTGCCTTTTTTCTTTCTTTCTAAATACTGAGTAATGCATATACAGAAGGATAGAATTATTTATAGAAATTTGAGGGGAAAAATGTGTATGTTTATATTAGATGTACTTACATTTTTAGTATTATTGTAAAATGATGAATTATAGACAGAAAAATATACACATTTAAGAACAGAACTAGGGTATGATTAAATCTTGAGATAATAGCACTAATAGAATTGTACTCATTCTTTTCCAAGTAACATAAATGCAAATTAATTGTAAGAGAGCTTTCTTTTTCAAAGAGTTGTAAATCAAAGTCCTATAACTTTACAGCTACTGGTTGTATCTTCCTTGAAGAAAGTTAAGAGAGGTTTTGTTTTTACACAATTAAAATACAGTACATCTTAATTCAGTAAATATTAACTGCCTTATCCAATTCATTCCTTCTTCTAAAGGCTGCGGTTCCCAGAAACTCCTTAGAAATTAAAGCTTTCTACATGTAGGTAAAAACATGATTAGTTCTGTGTCATGGGACCTCAGAAAAGTTTCTTGGCTGTTACAGCTTCATAAACCTATAACATATCATCAGAATCCTAGATTACTGTACCCTGATCTTGTAAAAGGCAGAAACCTATTGCTTTAAAAACATCTCTGAAGGATTAGATACTATATATTAAGGAGCTTTAGGAAGGCAAGTCTGGTTAAAATTAACTCTCTCCCTGCTCAGAGATTCAAAAGCCTCATAGCACAGAGCTCTGTACAGAACCGAGAGTACATCTAAAGGTCTCTTAATTTTAACACAATTCCCAAATCTTGTACACTTTTACTTCTGTTTCACTGTTTCATGGTAAGTTTTCGTACTGTTTTTCTTAAGGATTATCTCAAGTTCCTGAGAGGCAGAGGATGCAGTTTACAAATAAATATATGTCTACTCAGTACGATATTTCTGTGGGACTTATTTCCAGGTAAATGCACATCCCCAATTATAAAAAAAAATCCTCCACCAGACACATTAGTGTGAAAATCATCTTATTAACAACACGGTATTATATAATTCTTTTATGCAACTGGCATTTTGAGAGTAAACTGTTTTCAATCATGCTGTTATAATGCATGAAATACAACTCATCACATACTTAATCAAGGCACAGATGTGTAGTGTAAAAAGCATGCTAATGTAGCTTTTGGCTGGAGATGTAACTGTAGCCTTTCTTCAGCCAGAGTCAGAGAAAAAATGTAATGAGAGCATTGTTTTCCCTAATATGTTGGAGGTGGAGGTCAACACGTTGCAGGGTACTAAGTCATCAACAAGGACGGTTAATTTGACATGTGGGTGTTCACGAATAGTAACAGAAGTTTTCTTTAACGTAACTTATTATTTACTTGCTTTTAAGGGGCCGTGGAGGAGGATCTGGCACTAAAGTAACTGTATCCGGATTTTAACCATCCCTTTGGTAAAGGGTCTTCACTAGACATTTGAAATATATTAAAAGCATATCTAACAGATTATAATATGGTATGGAAAATAAATGTGATTTCCAAGTATGATCTACAGCTTTGAGAAAGTATTCTCCAGCATCCTTCTGTTCTGATTGGGCATCCTATCAAAAAGTTGCATATTCTTTTAGACATGTGGTCGAAAAATTATTTGTTGATCTACTAGGATTATAGGGCCTTCAGTCATAACTATCTCTGAGCAGCACAGAGGCCTACAACCTCTAATATGGTTAAAACAATATAAACAATCTCTGGAACAGAAACCATGTTTTTATTATCACGTTATCTATTTGAAGGATTTTCATATTTATGACTCTAGAATCTGCTTAAATATTTTTCTTTCTACTTTTTAAAAATGTCATGTTTGCCATTCACATTGGCACTACTAATCATCAATACCTGCTTGGAATTCTTATTTTAGCAAACTTTAAGTTAGTTTTATATAAAGGATTGTGTATGTATGACAGTTTACTTTCATATGTTACGGTAGATAAAAAGTTCCATGGCCAGTGAAAATAGAAAGCAGAATCAAGCATCTAAGAACCCATGTGGGCTAGATTCACTCACATAATGGCCAATCAAATCACACATGACTTAGCTAGGAATAGAGAAGCGTTTGGCAAAGCAACCAGAAGGAGATTCCAAGATACATTATATAGGCAACCAGAGACACGCACTGAAAACAGCAAGTTTAAGTAGCTGACTCAATGAGCAGAAAAGCAAGGGAAAGAAGTCAAGTCCCCACTGAGAGTGAGGAACTGCTCACATTCTCATTTGCCATGCTTGTCGCTATCCATTTTTAAATGTTATGACCCAAACTGCTAACGCCACAAGAGATTCCCAAACATTAGGCCACAGAAAAAGCTAGGAATCTGCTACATCATGAAATATATGCCCCTGCACTAGATCCCTAGTACCCAAATCATGGTCCATCAACCAGAGCAGGAGCACAAGATTTAAAGGAGAAACCGTGGATCTGAGATTGGTCAAGTTTTACATCCCAGATGTAAAAAAATTCGTAAGATTAAAATCCCTGCTATGAATACAAACCCATGATGGGAAGCAATTGCTTGGCAAAGGCATAGTTGTTCATTCTGGCAGCAGAATTCATCTTACATGGACACCCTAACCAAATTTTCCCTCTTAGGAAACCTGAGCAGTCATAGATGGTATTAATGCCCTAAGCTCATTAAGCTCTCTATCCACCCTTTCACCCTCCTCTTGAAATCAACTGAAACAAGTTATTAGCAGGCTGATGGAAAGAGAAATGTGTCCACTACATACATATGGCTAAATCACTGCGTTTATTAGTAATTAGATTTATTAGTTGATTTTCAAGTGTTCCAACAACACAACACAATACAATAAATAATAATTACATTACACTTTAACATCAGGAGAGAGAATCAACATGATGCTACTATATTTAAAATTACCATATCTCTTATACAGAGTTGTAAACAATTCCATATAGCTAGAACTATTAAAGCGATCAAAGTCCCTCCAAAGATCCACATTCGGAAGCAAACGAGATCTTCAAAGGCAGTGGTAGAGACACACGCGTAGGACTGCCAGCTATTCACTCCGGCAAGACACTTGTGTTTTGGAGAACAGTGACACAGGTGACAGAGTAGCAGCTGCTGTGTTTCTCATGCACTAACTCCCTGTTGGGAAACTCTTTCTGCTGCTTTATCATTATCTATCATGCAGTTTGCAAAGATGCAGGGGCCTTGCAGGAGCAAATTGCTTAGCATTCCCCAGGGTAGCAAAACTGGAAGCATGCTGGTCACCGCTGCTGGTCATAGGGCTGGCGGTCCCTTGTGGTCACCCCAGAATGGGGTGTGTGGGATGCATCCTGTATTAGTAGGAGAGAGAGAGAGAGAGTAATAAGCAACGATCCCTAAACCTGGAGGCATAGTACATGTCTTTAAAGGTGTGAGTGACAATGCAGTAGTGTCAGTGAAGTGCCCTCTGCTGTCCCACTCCACCCTCTCCTTCAGCACTACAAGGAAAAGGGGAAATGGCTGGCACTACTTTGCCCTTTTTGGAACTATAACAAAACAATGTGTATCTGGCAACAGACTGTTTTCCTCCATGCATCTGGACTGTGATTCGGTAATGCACAGATGCATTAGCCAGCAGTAGGAAGGTTTGAATGGAACATCTGGTCTTTGCCAACAAAATTTATCTGTGGGTAGCACTGCTCCCCATTGTTAGAGGAGAAGGGTGTTAAAGCAATACAGTTAAGACAGACATCACTTTCACACATGGAGGGTGGAGAAGATATAGGAAACAGTTAATGAGGCTGAACACTACAACAAGCATCCCTACACATCATTTGTTGCTTACCTCTGTGTGCTATGGTCTGCCCTGACAACCCAGTTCTTGGAGTGGAACAGGGTTGAGTGCCTATGTCAAGAATGCCAAGGCGAGGTGCCTATTAGGGTTCTAAAAGGAGAAATGTTAGCGTGTTTTATATTTTGCTGGATATTCCAAGGCCAGGGTTCTTCTCCTTGAGTCCTACGATTGTACAAGGAGCGAGATGGAGAATATAGCCACGTATTGCAAACCTGGATTGTGCCCTCCCATTATACATACAAATATACATATACATATATATAGGGTACCACAACTGGACCACTGGAGTTACAAAGCTAGCTCAGCTGCTTTTCTCCCTCCCACTGAAAATGTTTAAGATCTTCCTTTCTTCCTTTTTTATATGTATAACCTGTTCACTTCTGGTAAAATCAGCCCACAGCAGTTAACAAAATAAAATCAAAAACATAATCAGTAAAATCACAGCAAATATAAAAGTATAGGAGAATCCGAAAAAGCAACTACAGCTCCATGCTATGTTTTTAAAGTAAAGAAAAATCCAAGATATCTTAGAAAAATTAAAAACAGATTAGCTAATAGAGAAAAATACATGATGAATGCCTCTAATCATTCACAAGATAAAGAAGCAATACATTAAACAAAACATACATAAAAACAGAATGTAAAAGCCTTATTTCATAACATGGCATTTTATGCCAGCAGTCAATTTTGACTGGTGCCAATATTTGTATTAAAGACTGCCTATTGCAATTTACAATTGAGTAATATTACAGTACCATATGTTAATGCAATCAGTATTGCCATTTTGTGAATTCATTTGCAGCACTATCTCACTAGAACATTCTGACACACACCGGTTCAATTGCAAAGTAATTTTCAAAGTTGAAGTTTTTGTATTTTAATTTGTTATGTGTTAACACAATAAAGCATTCTTTATTTTTAGTGTTCACATAAATATTTGACGAATATACTGTATACCTCAACCCCACAGAGATCAGAATCTGCTATAATGTGCAGAAGATGCTGAGCATAAGCTTGTACAGTACTATTTATTTGACTATCATCAAGAACTGGGAAGATACCTACGTTTTTTCCTGTGTTCCACTAGACCACTGGCCTGTTTTGCTGAACATTTTGCAAACCAGTTGTCCCCAAGAAGAACTGTAATCTCATTGGTGTGAACAAGTCTTCCTGGCATGAAAGCAAGGGGGCCAAAGGGGACCTATCAAAGTAACAACAGAAGAGGAAGGCAGTAAAAGTATTCTACAGAGATATTTCACTTATGGGCAGTTCTACATTCATGCTAAAAGCCTTAATGTTTGAAGAAAGAAAGGACCAGTATATTAATTAAATATACCATGAAAATCTCAGAGTTGTTCAATGTATTTTGCAAGATTAATTAGATGTATATTTTTACTGATTGATTAATCATATCTATATAGCCACCCATCTCACAAAAAAGTGACTCTGGACGGTGTACAACACTCAATTAAAAAAACCTTAAATACATATAAAACAATCATTAAAATTGTAAAAACTATAAAAACACACACAACAGGAAAGGATGATGTTAACCGTAGTAAGGGAGCCATTGCAAAACCTCCCAGTCCCTTGGGACCCCCAGGCCTGATCACACAGCCAGTTCTTAAGGGACTTGCAGAATGTTAAGAGGGATGGGGCTAATCTCACTTCTAGGGCCACAGCAGGGAAGGCCCGCCTCCTGGGACCCGCCAAATCAAACTCCCTGGCAGATGGGACCCGCAGCATGCCTTCTCTGCCAGTCCTGATGGGATGGGCAGATGTAATCAGAGAGAGGCGGACCCTCAAATAACGCAGCCCCATGTCATGAAAAACTTTAAAGGTCAAAAACAGCACCTTGAATTGGACCCAGAAGCAAACTGGCAACCAATGCAGCTTGCGAAGCAGAGATGTAATGTGTGCCCTTCTAGGGGCATACATAACTGCCCATGCCACTGCATTTTGCACCAGTTGAAGCTTCCAGATACTCAAGGGCAGTCCCATGTAGAGTGCATTACAGAAGTGCAAACGGGAGGTGACCAGGGCATGAGTGACAGCGAGCAGAGCCCCCTAATCCAGGAACAGGCACAACTGCTGTGCAAAGGGCCTCCTAGCCACGACTGCCACCTGCTCTTTGAGCAGGAGTTGTGAATCCAGGAGGACCCCCAGATTGTGCACTGGGTCTGTCTGGGGCAGTGCCACCCCATCCAGTACCAAAGATGGCATAATCCTAGAACCAGAAGGCCCCAAAACCCACAGCCACTCAGTCTTGCCAGGGTTCAGCTGAAGCCTGTTGTTCCCTATCCAGATCCTCACAGCCTCCAGGCACCAGGATAAGACATTCACAGCATCACTTAATTTGCCAGGGGCAGAGATGTATAATTGGGTACCATCAGTGTACTCACCCCATGGCAACGGAAGAGCTCACCTAGCAACCTCATATAAATGTCAAATAGGAGAGGGGAGAATACCAAACACTGCAGGACCCCACATAGTAGGGGCCAAGGGCAGGATCTCTCCTCCCCAACCACCACTGACCGGAATCAGTCCCGAAGAAAGGAGGTGAACCAGCACAACACCATGTTGCCCACCCCAAATCCTCTGAGCCTATCCAGAAGGATACCTTGGTTGATGGTATCAAAAGCTGCAGAGAGGTCAAGTAGGGCAAGGATGGATGCACAACCCCCATCCTGCCCTCACCAGAGATCATCCAAAAGTGTGACCAATGCTGTTTCAGTTCCATACCCAGGCTTGAATCCCAACTGAAAGGGATCCAGATAATCTGCTTCATCCAAGGTCCTCCTAAACTGCTGTGGAACCACCTGCTCAATCCCTGTCAGGCCCAGCCCAAGAACAGCAGCAAAACAGTCCAGTTGAGTAAAGTTCCTTTATTTGCTTACATCTTATAGACAGAATCTTGCCAGACTAAAGCAATACTACTGCAACTAGTGGATATACCCTGGGAGATTCTAGGGAGTGGCTATCCTGAACCTC